CTGTCAGGATTGCAGTGTTTGTGTTTCAAGAAGCCCTTACTTTACTTCTTAATGGCCCAAAAGCACAAAGTGATGCTGATAATTCAAATGTGCCACAGAGAAGCAATAAAGTGCTTCCTTAAGTGAAAAGGTGACAGTTCTCAGTAAGGAAGAAAAAAAATTATATGCTAAAGTTACTAAGATCTACAGTAAGAATGAATCTTCTGTCTGTGAAATTGTGAAGGAAAAGGAAATTCATGCTAGTTTGCTAAGAGACCACTTTCACATAGTTTTTATTCCAGCATGTTATAATTATATTTTATTAATTATTGGTGTTAATTTCTTACTGTTTCTAACTTGTAAATTAAACTTTATCATAGATATGTATATATAGAGAAAACACAGTATAGATAGGATTTGGTACCATCCAGTCTCAGACTCCTACTGGGGGTCTTGGAACATATCCCCTGGAGCTAAGGAGGACTACTGTATGTGTAAAATGTTTTCTCATCATTAAAGTTGCATTAAATAAAGTACAGTTAGGTCACTATGGAAACTGATTTTTCAGAAATGAATAGTGAATGTTGGCTCTGCAAATCAGGTTGCCAGTTGCTCTTTAATAAACCCAGAATTAATATTTGGTTAACTTGCCTAAAAACAGTTCTTTCAAATCAGTTCTTTCCACTAATTGCAACAGTGGGCCATTTGAGTCATAGGCCCCTCTGACATCTGTCAGATTAACTTTTCAGTCACTTTCAGATAGTGAGACTTGGTCCTGTCCACCTATCCCTTTTAAACTATTTCATATTTGACTCTAACCTCCCTGCTATCCCCAGCACCAACTGGTGATAGGGCATAGGAGTAGGGTGGGGTGCTCAGGTAAGCTGTTCTCTCAAACCTCCCTTTCCACCCTCATTTTTGATGATGAGTTACTTGGTCTTGCTCTTGTTGGAGACTTGTCACTTTGCCAGCAAATCCCACTGGAAAAGTAACTGCCCTTTCCCTTTGTCATCTCTAGTCCAGCTGGTGAGGGTGAAGAGCCAGAACATGCCATTCTGAGAAAGCAGTTTCTCTAGCCATTGGTTGCATCTAAAGAGACTGGGCTCCATCTTCTAGTTGATCCCCCTATTGATAGAACAAGCCACAATCCTCAAAGCTTATGCCTCTTGGCCGCTTACTATAACAGCCCCCAGCAAGACTACAGCCTCCCTAGCCCCCATATCTCATATATTCTTGTACTTCCTGGCCTTTAACCAAACCATCCTTGTCACCCCACCTGAATCAGCAAGCCTGAAGTGAGCAAGCTGCCCAGCTTCATGGATGGAAGCCACTTCAGCACCATCCCTCTGCCAGTCTTTCTCATATAAAGCAACTTTCCCATCTCCTAGTTTGTAAAAACTAGCTTTGCCTTTCCCTTTCCCCAATGGGAATCTCCTGCCAAGAACTAGAGAGACTTTCTGTAAACTTAGTTGTCAATGTAGTACTTCCTTATCTGTAATTACCCCTCTAAAATCCCCAATCCTTGGAATCTCTAACTCAGAGGTCTCCTGTGAAACCACCCTATCTTCATAATACTTTTCAAGTTTCTCTCCAACTGGTCAGTAGGTAGCAAGGAGCATTTGAACCTCCCTAACTCCTAGGCAGGCCAGGCAATATATCAACCTTTCATGTGACCCTTTAAATATTGAAGTCATTTCTCAAAATACATGTGAACACATATAAAAACCTTAAACATTTTACCAAAAGTGAAAATTGCTGAACTAAATAGCAATAATAAACTTTTATAGAACCAAGATGGTGGCATAGGTAAATGACGTTACAGTGTCCCACAACCACATCTAAATTACTAGAATACAGAGCAACCATCCTTCAGAACTGCCTGAAATCTGACTGAATAGAACTTCTACAAATAAGTAAAGAAAATACATGAACACTGGTGGGAGGGGCAGAGGCACGGAAGGGGCTGGTCGGACACCCACATCTGGCATTTTTTTCATCGGGAGGGATATCTCAGCTGCAGAGGCGACCTGAGAGAAGCAAGGGGTCCCAGGGTTCCAGAGCTGGGAATCCTATATATTAAAAGCCTAACATGCAAATCGATCGAACAGCAGAACAACAGGTGGAACAACCGGACACTATGACGCACACTGTCCATCATGGGGGAGACACTCAACACGGGCTGTTCCCAGACTGCAGGCCCCAGACCAACCAAGGTGGGTGCCAGCGGGCCCTCCCCCGCCCCCATCACCCAGCCGCCAGTCACCCCACAGAGGAAGGTGACTGGCTGCAGAGCGATTGGGGAGCAGGGCCAGTAAGTGGGTGGTGCCAGGCCAGCCAAAACAGGTGCCCGCAGGGGGCGCCCAATCACCCCGCCGGTCGCCCCATAGATTAGCCCTAATAATTGGCCAGGCCTAGGGACTCTACCTGTGCATGAATTTCATGCACTGGGCCTCTAGTTTGGGCTATAAAAACCAGCAGGGATTGGCTGAGTGATACAAAGGCTGCTGGAGACCCAGGCAGTTTCTCATAAAGAGCCAGTGCTTGCATCCCCACTGGGGGGTTGTGCAAGAGGCAGCTGATCGATGTTTCTCTCTCATCGATGTTTCAAACTCTCTATCCCTCTCCCTTCCTCTCTGTAAAAAATCAATAAAATATATTTAAAAAAAAAAAAAAAAAAAAAAAAAAAGAGCCAGTGCTTGGACTCACTTCCTCTGAGCTGTAGCACTGGGGCAGCAGCTTGGGGGCAGGGGAAGGGGGGAAGATCCAGGGACATATGGGAGAAATCTGGATTATCTAGAATTGGAGCAAGAACTCAGGGGTGGCTTTCTCTCAGGTGGGGGTGCTCACTGGGGTCATGGTTCCTATGCTGAGATCTCCCCTACCACAGAGCTGACTTGCAGCCATATCTGAGTTTCCATCAGCTTGGTTCACACTGTTGGCTCCACCTGGAAATTCCCGGAGGCTACACCTCACCCAATTTGCAACCCCATCCAAGCTGTTTGCAGTGGCTTTTCCATATGAATGGCCTGTCCTGGCTCAGGCTTCAGACATTCCTAAAACCTCTCAAACATGCAGCAGCTGGCATCAGGGTGCCCCATATCTATGAATTAGAAGCCCAAGACCTGGCACTAGCACCAGCTTGCCTTGCTTCGTAGCTTGGCCTCAGCTGGGCACTTCTAAGCCCAACACAAGTAGCAGCCATCTGCAGATAGCTCTGTAGCTCCTGCCAGGTGGCCCCAGGCAGTGGCTGACTTTGCACCTCCAGGAGCCCCCAAAGCCACTGTACCTAGGTGGACAGTTTCAGGCCATAGCAGATTATAACTCTACACATCCACAAGCGACACACTCGAGGGGCAGACTCAGGGAGCACCAAAGCCCCACTGAAGCAAGCCCTGCTCCATAAGGGTGTCTCCCACACAGCAGCTCTTCCACTGTAGCCACAGCTGGCCCTCACAGCCAATTGGCCTGGAGGTCAGTTCCTCCCAGTGATGCCAACAGCAATCAAGGCTCAACTACAACAAGACTGTGCACACAGCCCACACAGGGGGGAACTTAGAGTGCCCAGCTTATGTGACTTGGGAGGCTAAGTCATTGGGCCCTACAGGACACCTACTACACAAGGCCACTTTACCAATTAGCAGCTCTACCTAATACATAGAAGCAAACACAGGAAAGCAGCCAAAATGTGGAGACAAAGAAACATGTCACAAATAAAAGAACAGAAGAAATCTCCAGAAAAAGAACTAAATGAAATCACAGCAAGCAAACTAAAGGATACAGAGTTCAAAACAATGATTATAAGGTTGCTCAAGGATCTTAATGAGAGTTTCAAGGACTTAGTGAGACGTTCAGGATCTTAGTGAGAATTTCAAAGATATGAAAAAGGAACAGTCAGAAATGAAGGATACACTAACTGAAATGAAAAATAATTTACAGGGAATGAACAGCAGAGTAGAGGATACCAAGAATCATATCAACGATTTGGAATATGAGGAACCAAAAAACACCCAGTCTGAAGAGCAAAAAGAAAAATAAAATCCCAAAATATGAAGACAGTGTAAGGAGCCTCTGGGACAACTTCAAACGTACCAACATTCACATTATGGGAGTGCCAGAAGGAGAAGAGAACAAGATATTGAAACCTATTTGAAGGAATAATGACAGAAAACTTTCCCTACCTGGTGAAAGAAATATACTTACAAGTCCAGGAAGGACAGCGAGTCTCAAACAAGAGGCCCATACCAAGACACATCATAATTAAAATGGCAAAGGTTAAAGACAAAGAATCTTAAAAGCAACAAAAGAAAAGCAGTTAGTTACCTACAAGGGAGCTCCCATATGACTGCTGATTTCTCAACAGAAGAAGAGGAGGAAGAGGGGGAGGAGAAAGAGGAAGAAGAGGAGAAGGAGGAAGAGGAAGAGGAGGAGGGAGAGGAAGAGGAGGAGGGAGAGGAACAGGAGGGAGAGGAACAGGAGGAAGAGAAGAATAAAATGGCAATAAACACATATCTATCAACAATTATACCTAAAAATCAAACAAACAAGGATTCTAATGAACAAAATAAACTGATGAATAAAATAGACAAATCTCAGTAGGAAGGGGTGCAGGCAGGAAGAGATTAACCAAAGATCTTATATGCATACTAGGAGCCCAGTGCGCAATTCAAAATCGTGCGGTGGCGCTGCCTACCCTCCGGTCCGGCTCTGCCTCCCTCTCCAACCCTTGGAAGCAGCTGAGACTGCTGCTAATCAGGCCCTCCCCCAGTGCAGGTGAATGGAGGCCCGTGCTGCCCCGCCCCTGCGCATGCAACCTCCTGTCTGGTCAACCCATTATGGTGTCCTGGTTAATTAGCATATTTCTCTATTTTATATATATAGATATACATACCTATGGACACAGACAATAGGGTGGTGAAGGCCTGGACAGGGTGGAGGGAGGCAATGGGGTGGAAAAGAGGGATATCTGTAATATTCTCAACAAAAAGATTTTTTTTAAAAAAGAAACTTTTATAAAGCATCTATAGATAGTTGATAAGATTTTTATTTCTTTTATTTAAATGGAAATTAATATTCATATATATTTACATCTTAAAACTCCACCTAATTTAGTGAAAACAAGGCATAGAATGGCACACTGGCAGCAGAAGGTGCTTATTAACTACCAGTCATTGTTATGAAGTCATATCTATATACAACACTAAAGAAAATAAATAGGCTTAACTAAAGTTAATGAGAAGCAAGTATAATTATAAATACCAGATTTTAAACAGGAATCTGTAAAGGTTTTACTACATAAGGATTTCACTCAAAGTAGACAAAATATATAGTAATCTCAAACTTTGAGGATACCAAATTAATTTCGTTTTAGTTGAGGACTCTTCAACCTCAGTAACTTTTCGGAATGAAGCATAAAGTTAATGCTGTACATTTAAAAGGATTGGTCCAGTTGAGTTTTCTCTATTTTTAATTCCTCCTCTTCATTTACAGTATTGGCAGCAGCATCATTATGCAGATTATCTAGAATGTCTTCCTTAAGTTCATCTGACTTCTCCTTGTTTTGATCCTCACCCGTGTTAACATCTTCAACTGTCTGTGCCCTGGATGTATTCATTAACAAGTCTGAAAGAGAAATCATTGTTACACATTATTTAAGCACCTCATCCAATCTTACCTAACACAAATTTCTTCACAAGCTTAGATCAATAGAAATGATAAATATGACCATTTTAGTTCATGTTAATTATGATTACTTCCAAATAAAGCCATTTTTATACATGTATGAAGTCCATTCAAAAATGCAAGAGGTCTTGGCCCTGGCTGGGTGGTTCAGTTGGTTAGAACATCTTCCTAATACGCCAATGTTGTGGTTCTATTACCAAGGCTGCTATCATGCACATACAAGGAACAATCAATGAATGAATAAGTAAATGGAACAACAAATCAATGTTTCTCTTTCCCTTCCTTCCTTTCTCTAAAAATCAATAAATAAAAATTAAAAAAAAATTTAATGTAAGAGGTCTTGAAAGGTACTGAACTCAAACTTGAATCACTTCCAAATGCTACTGTTCTCATTCAAAATCACAATTACTAGACACGTTTTAAAAGTTCAAATGCTCTTAACAGCTGTATGTCAAAGTGATCTATAGTAAAGAAAATTTCAGGTACTTATATCTACATGGGCAAATTTTTAAAGTCATATATTATAAATAGAAAATGAGCCTTAAAATGCTTATTGATAATGACAAGGAAGACACTGCTATCAACAATAGTTCTATCTTTATGTAATTTTTCACATGGAAATAAAACATCCATTTGTAAATTTAAAGCTTAAATTCATTTTAATTATAAAAAATCATGATAATGTAGTCACAATACTTTCCACTTGAGAATTTTATTATCTTGGGTGAACTTTGTTTTATGACATGATAATCTTCAGTACTTAGACTCTAATTCTTACTTTCCTATTTCAAAAGGAAAAACTGGATTGGAAATAGAGAATGACATGCCATCCTGCTTCATTCAAAGCCAATTTGCAATTTTATTTATCTACCTACCTATTGATTTTGATTGATTGATTTGAGAAACATCAACTGTTGTTCCACTTATTTATGCATTCATTGGTTAATTCTTATATGTGCCCTGATTGGGGATCAAACCCAGAACTTTGGCATATTGAGTCGATGCTCAAACCAACTGAGCTACCTGGCCAGGGCGGCAGTTATTTCTAAATACAGTTTTGTTTTGTTTTTGTTAATTCTCACCTGAGGATATTTTTCCATTGATTTTTACAAAAAGCGGAGGAGAGGAAGGGAGGGAGGCAGAGAGAGAAACCGACCGGCTGTCTTCCCACGTGCCCCAACAGGGGCCTGGGATCGAACCTGCAACCAGGTACTTACCCTTGAGCTGGAATCAAACCCAAGACCCTTCAGTGCACAAGCCAACATCCAACCACTGAGCCATACATATCGGCCAGGGCTTAAATACAACTTTAACAAACATGGTTGTCTAGTTTCCAAACCCACAGTCTGTTTTAAAAACAGCACAATTTGCCCTGGATGGTGTGGCTCGGTTGGGTGTCATCCCATGCACCAAAAGGTTGCTGATTCAATTCCCGGTCAGGCATGTGCCCAGATAGGGAGTATGCAGGAGACAGCCAATCGATGTTCTGCTCTCACATCAATGTTTCTCTTTCTCTCTCCTTCTCCCTTCCTCTCTCTCCAAAAATCAATAAAAATATTTTTAAAAATTAAAATAGTTCATCTTATGGCAGTTTTTCTAGAGAGAAGGGAATGTAACAGGTAATCAAACTGATAGCTCACAACAAGTGACACAAGGCAAAAAAAACAACAAAGCATTTTAGGGCCCAGCTGGTGTGGCTCAGTGGTTGAGCATCGACTTATGAACCAGGAGGTCACGGTTCAATTCCTGGTCAGGGCACACCCGGATTGCAGGCTCGATTTCCAGTGAGGGATGTGCAGGAGGCAGCCAATCAATGATTCTCTTTCATCATTGATGTTTCTCTCTCTCTCTCTCTCTCTCTCTCTCTCTCTCTCTCTCTCTCTCTCTCTCTCTTCCTCTCTGAATTCAATGAAAATATATATATTTTTTTAATTTTTAGGATCACTTATTCACATCTTAGCAAATGGCTCTAAAATCCTCACTGGGTGCAAAAAGCATTTTATATGTTTAGGAAAAGTACCATAATAATTAATGTTCATAATTATGATCCTAAAGATAAAATTATATTACATGCATTAAGGAGTCAGGGAAGAATAAGTTTTTGAAAGACTCAGAATCAATTTTAAATTATTAAAATAACTCTTTAAAAGGTATTCAACTATTCAGAAAACCATCTTGGATCATTTCTTCTTTGGAGATTCCAAATAGGTAACACACATACACACATACACACACACACACAGTCTTTTTCTCTCAACTGTACATAAACTTAATATACTATATCATTTTTCTATTTCTAGAGGTATTTTATTTGGAAGATAGTAGAGAAGTTAAAATTTCTAACATGCCCTTGCTATATTAATGGTAACACATAAAAACCAGCGTAACATTTACCATTGTCTAAGGACTGACTATTACTCAGTAGCTTTGCCTGTCTTCTTTCCAAGGCCAGCTGTTTATTTCTCTGGATTCTTTGCTGTTGCTCTTCAGTTAGGCTTCTACTTGACTCAGAAGCAAACGTCGCATTTTCAGATGCATTTGTCAAAAATGGATCTAATTCAGTAGCAGTTACATCATGGTCATTATTTTCCACTACTTCATCTGCAGTAGAAAAAAAAAAGTGAGTACATCTCTAGTATTAAACTAGTTAGAAAAAGAGCTTATATAGCTATTAATTTAAAACCAGTTTAAAGTGACAGGTGCAGACCAGAAGAAACAATTGGTGAGGCATGAGAATGTTACAAACATGTTTGATTCAAACAAGTAAAAGGAATATTTATAAGTCACTTTAAAGAGGCATTTTAAGTCAAATGAAAACACTAATTTAAAAATATACATGAACGGCCCTGGCCGGTTGCTCAGTGGTTAGAGCATTGACCTGCTGACTGAAGAGCCCAGGTTCGATTCTAGTCAAGGGCACGTACCTCAGTTGCAAGCTCAATTCCTGGCGGTAGTCGGGGTACATGCAGAGGGCAACCAATCGATGTGTGTCTCTCACATCGATGTTTCTCTGTCTCTCCCCTTCCCTTCCACTCTTTCTAAAATCAATGGAAGCCCTAGCCAGTTTGGCTCAGTGGATAGAGCACTGGCCTGCGGACTGAAGGGTCCCAGGTTCGATTCTGGTCAAAGACATGTACCTTGGTTGCAGGCTTGATCCTTGGCCCTGGTCAGGGTGCATGCAGGAGGCAACCAATCAATGTGTCTCTTTCATCACTGATGTTTCTATATCTCTCTCTCCCTCTCTGAAATCAATTTAAAATGAATAAAATAAATAAATAAAAATCAATGGAAAAAATATCCTCAGATGAGGATTAAAATATATATATGAATGGAAAGCAAAAGTTCTTAGTTATGATTAGAAATATTTTATGCTTGGACTAATAAAAGAACTTAGAGAATCCAAAGAATATTCTTATTTTATGTTAAACAAAAACATTTTAATAGCTTGCCATAATACACAGTAATAATTTTATATAGGCTATTTTTAATAGGGTAAAACCCAGACACAAAACTAGGGAAAGAAATTTAGAGATCTGTGGACATAGTTCCAAGTTAATATTTTTAATTCAGTGCATTATTCTCTACATTTTTACTCTTAATCAACTCTTAAAGCCATGTACACTAGTTATTTCAAAGTAGGATACTCCCAAAATAATCCACGATGTTATGGAAAGTAAATATTAAATCTTCCATTTATAATTCATTTAAGAATTATGAAAAATTAAATTTTACTACCATATTTAAAATAAGAATGGGCAGTGATAAACTATCACTTATCCATATGTCAGCTTTCCTATGGCGTAAGCTAACTTAATAAAGGCAGCTCCACATTGAGGAAGGGGAGGAGAGTTGGGCTCACTCATTTTTTAATTTCAGCATATTGTGACACACAGCTGATTCTGACTGCCCAGTTAAGTAGACTAACAGACTAATTTTAACCAAAACAACCCCAACATAATAAACAAGTGGTAGTTTAAAAAGATTTGTTTGCAAAATAAACACCTGAAAGTAGAAGATAATACAAGTACAAGCAAACTAAAAAAATCTATATATCTAAAAGCCTAAGTGACCTTTACAACCAAAAGACTGAAACGACTGGTAGACCAGTCACTATGATGCATACTGACCACCAGGGGGCAGACGCTCAACGCAGGAGCTGCCCCCTGGTGGTCAGTGCATTCCCACAGCCAACCTCCCACTGCCCCTCCCCCATGCCGACTGGCCCCCCCATAGGCCTTAATCACTGGCCAGGCCAAGGGACCCTACCCGTGCACTAACTCATGCACTAACTCGTGCACCGGGCCTCTAGTAAAAAATAAATGGCAAAGCTGATACTTTCCCTTCTTTTTACATCATTCACATAATAGGGTTAAAACATAACTTCATCAAATCTGACAACTAGGCAAGAAAAAAAATTTTCTTATCACCAAGACCATCATTAAAAAATAATAATAAAGAAAATGAAATATTAATTTACATACACCATCCTTATGTAGATACTATGCACTGAGATCAGCTGGTGATAAAAACCAGCACAACTATCAAAACATTTCAAACATGAAGACAAACCTTTACAATTATTCTAGTGAGGTTTAAAATTCATATATTTAATCCAGTCTTTTACAATTCAAACCCCTTTTGAGGTTTCTGCCTTCCTGACATGGAAAAAATTCGTGGCAAGAAACTAAAATGCATTCCTTTATCAGGAAATATTAATGGCGTACAAGTAGAAAACTTTGCTGGGGAAGTTAAGCAATGTATTAGAACCAATTGTGCAATATGTAGGGTTTCTAATATGCTTCACCTCATAGGGCTTACAAGATTCTGAATTAATAATAATGAAATAGATAAAGATCTACTTTTTGTGAACTATAAAAGGAAAGATATCATCAACAAGAAATGGCCTCTTTAATACAATGTTTTATGGAAAAACAATGTGAATGTAACCACTGCTGGAGCTGAGACTAGGATAAAAATGGGATTAAAAACAAATGAGAACCACACATGAAATACATTTACTGCAAGTCATAGGCAGACTATTGTGGCAAAGAAGCTAAAGTCAGAAATATTCAATGTGTTACAGGATGCTATCATGTTGGTACACATAATCTAAAAGATAAGCAAATTATTTAATAAAGAGAAACAAATACTAGGCCCTAGCCGGGTTGGCTCAGTGGATAATCAGCCTGCAGTCCAAAGGGTCCCAGTGGTTCAATTCCAGTCAAGGGCACGGTACCTTGGTTGCAGGCTCCTCCCCTGGCCCCGGCCCTGTTCAGGGCTCCTGCAGGAGGCAACCAATCAATGTGTTTCTCTCACATTGATATTTCTCTCTGTCTTTCCCTCTCTCTTCCACTTTCCCTAAAAATCAATGGAAAAACATCCTCAGGTGAGGATTAAAAAAAAAAAGCATACGGAGCACTAGCTGGTTTGAATCAGCGGACAGAAGGGTCCCGGTTCAATTCCAGTCAAGGGCACATGCCCGGGTTACGGGCTCCAACCCCCATAGGGGGCGTACAGGAGGCAGCCAATCAATGATTCTTTCTCATCATTGATATTTCTATCTCTCTATCCCTCTCCCTTCCTCTTTGAGATCAATAAAAATATATATTTTAAAAAGCATAGGGAAATCAGGATTAACAATTAAGTATAATTTTACCAGTGTGGTTAGGAAGACTTCACAGAGTTGACAGTTGAGCACAGTCCTGAAGATAGTAAAAAATTTGGAGGCTGGAGGACAATGTTCAAGGCAGAGTGAGAGAGTGCAAAAGCCTTAAGACAGAAATGTGCCTGGAAGGTTCAAGGAACAGCTAAGGAGGCAAGCGTAGCTGAAGCAGTGTAGGTAGGGATACAGTCAGAGAGGCAGGGGGATGGGTTGAGGACACAGAACAGATTCTGTAGGGCCAAGTTGGACATTATAAGGGTTTTGGCTTTTACATTGAGCAAAATAAGGAGCCACTAAAGGGATTTGAGCAGAGGAGTAACAAGACTACACATTAGTAAAAAATATTAAAGTATAACCCCTGCTTAATTTTTAAGAAAACCAATTGATTACAAAATGGTAAATGAAATTTTCTAGTAAACTTCAACAAAAAAACCTTGCATTGGTGAATGGATTTAAAAATGAACATTGAGATTTATTAAGTACAATTAATGACTTATTTCCATGTGGATTTATGTATTTTAGTAAGGTAAAAACCAAGATTTGATTGGGGGGGTTAAAAGTGTTACTGAATAAACTAACTCAGTGGTAGATGGTGTGGGATTTAGTACTGTAATAGCTAATCCCTTTCCATATATCAAATCCTATGCCATCAGTACATACCATATATTACCAAAATATTAATTAATCTTGGATTATTTAAATCACAATCTTTCACTTTTAAAAGTAATTTATAAATAACTTTGGGGAATTCTATATGGAGCCTGTATTTTCCATCACATATATTAAAAGTTTAAAAAGCAAACAAACATGTATGGAGCCATCGCACAGGAAATCTGATAACTATACAGACCCTGTCGGCAGGAACCATATGTTTTGATGTGTGTGACTGCCTATGGTTGCACTGTACAGCCAACAAATGCAATCAATACCAGGAACAGTCACATAGGTCTTACTAAAGTCCTATACCCAGGATCTGTACTCTTTTTTTATGTTTTTATTGATTTCAGAGAGAGGAAAGGAGGAGAGAGGGACAGAAACATCAATGATGAGAGAGAATCATTGATTTGCTGCCTCTTGCACAGCCCCTACTGGGGATCAAGCCCGCAACCTGGGCATGTTTCCTAGGAATCAAACTATGACCTCCTGGCTCATAGGTCAATACTCAACCACTGAACCACACCGGCTAGGCCAGGATCTGCACTCTTAAGTGAAATAAAAACTATTTCATCATCAAATTATTCTGCCTAATTTTCCCAGAGCCACGTTTTTAATGGTGTACATGTATTTTGTCATATATTTTTACTAATAAGCACTACAAAGGATCAGTGGGTCACCATCAGAGTTCTTAAAAGCTCATGTTCTATGGCTAAATACATTTTTACATCTCTTAATAGCATTGCAGCCATTTCTCTAAAGAAAAAAATATCATACACAACATTCTAAATCTACCAAAGCATTTAAACTCATTATTGTACTTTAATTATACTAGTATACTCAACATAGACTAAAACCAGTCCTGTACTACTGTCCACCCAACTAAGTCCATTTCTAAAAGAAAAATTGTTATGAAGTAGACAAGCCTATATTCTTACCATTATTGCTAATAAAATCTTCATGTAAAATAGGGAGATCAAGTCGAATTTGTTTTAAACAGGTCTGAAAAGAGACATTTTTACATTTTTGTTAATAACATTTAGAGGAAAATAGTCATTTATTCCATTCTGAGTTTCAAAAAAGATGTTCTTTAAATAACTACTCATTTTCCTTCTTTCTACCAAGACAGATTTAAAAATTAAGACCCCCAAACAGCTACTCAGCCTTAACTAAATCTTACCTCGTACTATTCAACACTGTGAATGAAACTCATAATAATCTCAACACATACCTGAACTTCCTTTTTATTTCCCAGGTATTCAACTCTGTCAATAAAATCCTCAAATTGCAGTTTAGGGAATAGCCTATGTGCCCAGTGCTCCATGTGTCTGATTAGCGTCTTCAAGTCTTCAGCCTGGCACATAAAAATAAAAATGCTAAATAGAAAACTCATTTTCAGAACTGATCTGGTCAGCAGATTTTAGAATTGAATAGTAATGGCAAAGTCATTGGTGTCACTTTACATTTATAAGGTGAAGAAATTCTAAAAAGAAAAATATTTACTAAGGGCTTAGAGGATTACAGTCTAAAAGAGCACTGGATACAAATTTTTTTTTTTAATCAGAGGAAATAAAACAGATGAAAGTTTAATAGGCCCTAGCCGGTTTGGCTCAATGGATAGAGCGTCGGCCTGTGAACTGAAAAGTCCCAGGTTCGATTCCAGTCAAGGGCACATGCCCGGGTTGCGGGCTTGATCCCCACTGGGGGACTTGCAGGAGGCAGCCAATCAATGATTCTCTCTCATCGTGGATGTTTCTCTCTCTCTCTCTCCCTCTTCCTTCCTCTCTGAAATCAATAAAAATATATTTTAAAAAAAGTTTAATAGAAGTTAAAAGATAATCACATGTGGTTTTGCAGGACAGTAAAGTAACCCTAAAAATAAGCTTTAATGAAATATATCAAGATATATTTTAGGAATAACTAAACAAAGTGGTTGGTCCCCTAAATCATACATAGAGAAGAAAGCATTGAGAATTCAGCATTGTGAAAATACATTCAGAAATCCCAAGAACAAAGTACTGAAGACCAGCAAGAACAGTTTAAACAGTCTCAGACCAGAATACCTATGTTTGAAATTTCAACTTAACATTAAAAGTTTTTTATATTAAATGAAATACAAAGCTTTTTTGTTGTTCTTATCCTCACTGAGGATATTTTTTCCATTGATTTTTAGAGATAATGGAAGGGAGAGAGAGAGGGGGAAAGAGAACCATCGATTGGTTGCCTCATGGGGCTGGGGGATTGAACCTGCAACCCAGGTATGTGCCCTTGTCCAAGAATTGAACCCATGACCCTTCAGTGTGCGAGCCAATACTCTAATTCCTGAGCCACCTGGCAAGGGGGACAGTTCTTACATGTCTCCATTTTTCAACAAAACTTAACTGATGCCTATTATAAACCAGGCATGGCTCCTTATCTTAGGGACACCTAAGTGATCAATACAGGGAAAGTCCCTGCTCTCATAAAGCTTAAAGCCACTCTCTGAAGTAGACAAAGTAAATTTTATTCCTCAAAATTATGAAGTACAAAGTCAGGCTTACTGACTCACACATGAGTTTACTAAAGTCATACGGTGGCAAAACCAAGACATGTTTTCTGATTCTTCTAACAGTGCCCTTTCCACATCATAGTTTCTCAAAAGATACAATGATGAATGATTACATCTGTAAAACACTCTAAGATTCCTAACATGATAGCAGACCCAGTTTTATAGTCAGTCAGCCCTACCTATGAGTGGGTTCTGCATACATGGATTCCACCAACTGTGAATTAAAAATATTCAGGGAAAATAAATGTTATGCTATTGCTGACATGTGCTATGTAGTTAGGCCTATGATGGTTGCTGCATCTGTATTGAACATGTACAGACATTTTTTGTCATTATCCCCTAAACAATGTAATATAATGACAACTATTTACTTAACATTTACATTCTGTTAGGCATTACAAGTAACCTAGAGATAATTTAAAGTAGGTTATATGCAAATACTATGCCATTTTATATAACGGACTTGAGCATCTGTGGATTCCAGCATCCACAGGGGCCCTGGAACCAATCCCCCACAAATAGTGAGGGACAACTATATTTTCAAAAACAAAGATAAAAACCAGGCATTTCTTACCTCATGACCTTTACCTTTAAATTTTGTCTTATCAAACACATGTCTTAATGCTGGAAGCCCTCTCTCTGAAATCAATCTGTGAATAAAAATATGTTTTTAAATTCCAAGTTTTCTAGAACTATCAAGGCCAAACCAAGACCATAAGAAAAGATATTATCTGAACTGAAAAAAACCTATATAATAAAAGCCTAAGCGATTGTTATGGCAGAACAACCAAAACGACCAGTCGCTATGATGTGCACTGACCACCAGGGGGCAGACGCTCAACACAGGAGCTGCCCCCGGTGGTCAGTGTGCTGCCACAGGGGAAGTGCCACTCAGCCAGAAGCCAGGCTCATGGCTGGTCAACGCAGCGGTGGTGGCGGGAGCCTCTCCTGACTCTGCAGCAGCACTAAGGAGCAGCAAGCCAAGCAGGAGCAGTGAGCAGGTGGGCGGTAAGGAGCAAGGGTCCTGGACCTACCCCCCCCCTGCCCCCCAGGGCACGAATTTCATTCACGGGGCCTCTAATATCTTTATAAATATCTGATTTTCAAATCATCCTTACCAACAGATTGTAACATAAGGAAGAAAAAAAGATATTAAAAAAAAATACGAATGTTTAAGGCAACAGTACATATACCTCTGAGCATCAAGCTTGGGGATGTTCCTTTTAACTGTTCTCCTTGGAGGTACAGGAACAGGTGCTCCTCTTCCTGACTCTGGTGAGATATACCAAGATTTAATATTACTTAAATAATTTAAGCTTCACTTGTAAAATGTATCATTTCTAAGCTGATAGATGGATAACTGGACATAGACACTTTTTTTAGAACTCTATACTGACCGTCATCAGGTTCAGCTCCTTCATCATCTCTCTCTGGAGAAGCTGGAGGAGGGAACGGAGGAAACGTTTCATCTTCTACGTGCTCATCATCTGGTAGGTCAATCAGGCCATTCTCCTGTGGTTCCAGCATCTTTTCCTCTGGGGGGGGGGGGGGGGGGAGTAAACACGTTTATTCATCCAAGCAGTCTTTCTATTACACAGTTAGGATCCACCTGCAGCAAAATACATGTGCTTCAGTCAGTTAAACCATATTTCAAACTCAGACATGATGAAAACTGGAAATGATAATAGATATGGAAAAGAACTGAGCTAAAAATCAGAAGAACCGGGTTCTAAACACTAAATAATATACTTTTGAACAAATCATTTTACATCAATTGTTGAGTTTCATCTATCATAAAATGACCTGGACTTTTCAGAGGGTTTCAAACTATGATCCAAATGGGTGTGAAATATGCAGAGGACAGGAACCTCACCTGCCACTTCAACCAGAGAAGCTTATAACAAAAAGCTGTTTACATATTAATCTTCTAGGTAAGGTTCCTTTGAAGAAAGGGAAATAATCCTCAGGTTGATAACCTGAAAGAATGCTTTTCAGTACTATTTTACTTGACCTCTCAGCAACATCTGAAACTTTTGATCAGTTCCTTTTTCTGGACAAATGTTTCCGCTGACTTCTGAAACATAGTACTCACCTGACTTTTCTCCCTTTCTGGACACTCCTCCTGGATCTTCTTTGAAGATGCATCTTCCTCTAACCTGGTCAGTAAGTATCCAAGACTCCATCGTAGGCCCTCTTCACTCATTTATACATATGGCATTACGGATAACTGACTAATTCTTTATCTCCATCCCAGGCATCAAATCTGAGCTCCAGATCCCTACTTTTCATTTTACAGCTCTTAAGTTTCTCACTGGTACCTATAACTCATCATGTACAAAACTGAATTTCTAATTTTCCCAGTTCACTGCATACCATCTATCCAGCTAGGCAAGTCAGAAACCTACAAGTCATCCTTGACAACTCCTTCTGTCTACCCAGTGGTCGGCAAACGGGGGCTCGTGAGCCACATGCGGCTCTTTGGCCCCTTGAGTGTGGCTCTTCCACAAAATACCGACTTCTGCACATGAGCCACGAAGTTTCAATCGCACTGTACGTGCGCGCCCCCACGGGTCTACCCTACATATCCTATCCATTTTACCTCCTAAATATCCCTCGAGTCTGTCCATTTCTCCATATCTCCACAATCACATCATAACATTTCTACTTGGATTACTCCATTCCTCCTATCCAATTTTGACTTTTCCAATCCATTCTCCACATTACAGCTAAGTTTAACCTATGGAAATATAAAGCTGATCGCTTTACCACGTGGCTTAAATATTTCAATGGCTTCCTTCTGTTCTTAGGATAATGATAAAGCTCGGGCTCGGCATGGTTTGGCACCCTCCTACTTCTCCAGCTTTACACCACTCTTCATGCGCTTTTCTCTCAGTTCTTTGAAAGAGCCATATCCCTCAGGCCTCTAGTCTAGACTTTTTTAAAAATATATATTTATTGATTTCAAAGAGGAAGGGAGAGGGAGAGAGGGACAGAAACATCAATGATGAGAGAGAACCATGGATGGGCTGCCTCCTGCACACCCCCTACTGGGGAACAAGCCCGCAACCTGGGCATGTGCCCTTGATGGAATCGAACCCGGGACCCTTCAGTCCTCAGGCCGACGCTCTATCCACGGAGCCAAACCGGCTAGGGCAGGCCTCTAGACTTTTGCAAAGGACAATTCCTCTCCTAAAGGCCCTTCCTTGACTCCTAATCTCTTTCAGATCTCTACTATCACCTCCACAGAAAAGTCTGCCCCAATTTCCCCAAACTAAATCCTCCTATAATAAGCACTCAAAGTATCAGGTGCAGGCTTCACAGCACTAACCCCGTTTCAATACTAAGTTCTATTTGTGTGATTATTTCCTTAATGTTGTCTTTCATACCAGACTGTAGCTCTAAAAGGGCAGAGACCAGACTGGTCTCTTTGTGCTTCACCACTGCATCCCCAAAGCTGGTACACAGCAGAGGCTCAAGATATATTTGGTGAATGACGGAATGAAGAATTCCAAAGCTTCCCCCCAAATTGCAAACCTTCTGGAGCTAGATGATCCCTAATCTCTCCAATTCTAAATTTCCATGATCACATATAATAATAAAAGCATAATATGCTAATTAGACCAGACGACCTTCCGGAGGAAGCCTGGGTCCCGGGTGCCAGCAGTGGGGGGAAGGACGGCCTACTCTTGCACGAATTCCGTGCATCAGGCCTCTAGTCATATATAAAAACAAAGTATAAACGCTTGATGATGACCCCTGTATCTACAAGAGTCAAGAACCATAGATGTTCAAAATTGGAAGAAAGGCGGTCAGAGCCCGAAACCGCTGCAGTAGCTACAGTAAGCATAGTTAGCCCCATCTAGTTACGCCCTCGGGAAGAAATGGGGTTCGCACCTCTGAGGCCGAGTTTGAGGGCAGGACACAAGCTACATGGAGGGTGGCTCCTATATGCAAGGAGCTGGCCGAGCATGGCGTGGGCTGGTCAGTAAACTGGTAGTGAACAAGGGATCCATCTGTCGCTTCTTTAAAATTTAACTTTATATTCTTATGTCTTTCCCTTATTGATAACTGTTGCATTGTCTCTTCACTGTCTCCTTTTTAGACATCCATGAAATTCTCTTTACCTCTTCCTCTAGGCCTCAAACCCCCAGAGGAGCGAACGTAACAAGGAAACGTAACCTTCAAACTACAGTTGGTTCCCAGACCCTTCGGGTGTCCCATGTCCAACTTCTTCCACGTTACCCGAGCAGAAGCCCCTTTACCCCGGGAAGTTCGCACCGGAAACTCCATGCCCCGCTTTGCTAACCGGCGAGAACACTGCATTTCCCACCCCTCCATTCTCGCCCGCCCCTCTCTCCCTTCATTCATTCCAGTCACCCACGCCTTCCGTGTTAGAAGCCCGGGGGCAGGAGCTGGCCAGGTAAAGATGTTCCTGACACACGTCCCCTCCCGCTAAAAGGCTGGGTTTAGTGAGAGGCGGTCCCCAAACGTAAACAAAATGTAAATGTGCACCCCTTGTCCCCACCGGTCTCCTCGCCCCACAGGTCGCGCCCGGTCGGGCCTCTATTGCTCTGCAATTCACCTCAGCCCTGCAGTCCACCCCCCCCACTCCCTCCTTGCTGCTCCCCGCACCCCGACTCTTCCGCCTGAACCCCTCGGCCGCTTCTCCCCTAAGCGACTTCACTCTCCCGCCAGCCCGCTCTCACCTCACGCGGACTCAACTCCCGGCGTGGCGCGGCTCGCAAACCGCGCTTCTCGCGAGACTCTAAGTTACCGCCGCGAAAAGAGCCCTCGGCGCTTGGCGCCAAATCTGCGCGCGGCGCGGCGCGGACGTGGCTGACGGACCCGCCCCCTTCCCCAGGCCCCGCCCACCCACGTCCCCGCCCCGCCCTTCCCGGGTCCCGCCCACTACGTCCCACCCACCCACCCCCGGGCCCCGCCCACCCACGTCCCACCCGCCCTTCCCGGGTCCTGCCCATCCCCCTGCTCCCCACCCCACAGCTTCCTTCTTCCTGAATTCCTCGGAGGGATTACACCTCCTTATTCCCGTAAAGTCCACCTTTGTTGCGCTCTAGGCATTTTAGACTTTGGAAACAGGTCTCAGTGTTTTGGAAAACTGGCTTGTGGATGGAGTAGAAAGGGTAGAGGAAAACAGTTTGATGAGAAACTACCGATTCTCCGTAGTTAACAGAATATCTTGAACGTGGAGTTTTTTGCATCGCTTATTGAATAATGAACTGAGATGAAAGAGGCGATGAAGTGGTAGGAGTGTAGATCTCAAGAAGAATGTCAAAGATTTGTTACCCTTAATGTGTGTGTTTTTTTAAAGTGAGTCCAAATATATTTCTATTTATTTCTAGATACATATGCGCACTGGCACACAAAACTGGGGGAAAATAAATATATAACACCTGTCGGGATGGGAATTGGGCATATGGGACAGGGTGAGATGGGGATCTAACTCTGTACTCTTTTTAAACATATAAATGTATTAACTATTCAAAAAACTAAAAAAAAAAAAGTTACTGCAGCAAATATAGGATCAAGATTTGACAAACCAAGAACATGAGAAGTGCTTCCAACATTATTCTGTTTTTCTGTAGCTTGAAATATTTTATTAAAATTATAAAAGAATGAATCAAGTGTGTAAAATAATAAGATAAAATAAATTGTAAGTGTTAAGGTCGCCCAAGGAAGAACTCGAGGCCGAAAGGGATAAAGAATTACGAATTTACAAGGTCATCTGGAAAACCAGATGGGCTGAGCCCCCCAATGGCGCCAGCACCCAAGCATAGGGAGTTAGAGGTCTTAAAGGACTCTAGGCAGGCTTTTTCTGGGTGAGGAATTCTCTGGGCGAGTCCTGAGGGGAAAGATAAAGGTCTTAGCAAATGGAATGTGGTCTTAGCAAGTGGAATATGTTCTAAGCCAAAGGGAATGTCCGTTGTGAAGTGGTCTAAAGGTCAGTCCCCGGGGAGGAGGTGTTGATTTAATTAGTTGCTCAGACCTAACAGTAAGCTCTATCTAAAACTATGTGTGTAAATATGCATATATACCACATTTTCATTAGTTTTATGGCTTATTTCTATACATGCAAGATAATATTCAGCAATTAATTAAATTAACACTAATTTAATAGAAAATATGTCTCAAGAGTCTGAATAACTGAGGCAAGAGGCACTCTTCTAATTATCTAGATAGTCTATATTCTCTACTTTATGTCTAATAAAGTAAATACAAAAGCACTTTGAGAAATTAAAAAGTTATATACCACCCTCCACGCCCTACCAAAAAAAAATGAAAGAAAGCCTAGGGCAGAAGCTCCAAGGATTTGAATCTCAGTTCCATTATTTAATACTTAATGACTTTTGACTATGCTTCAGTTTCCTCATTATTAATAATAGTACCTACTTTGTAGGGTTATAAGGATGATTAAATGAGAGTACTGAATAAATGTTACCTATTATTATTCATATAATTTTAAAGATATCTGAGCCTTTCAGAAAATGTAAATACTTTGGTAAGTAATTGTTTGTGGGTCCATGTGAATATAACTACCACAGTTGTAAGGCATTGACATATTATTGTCAAAGGATAATAATTGTTTCTTTTTTTCATATGTGAGGAATACTAGAAATATATTTTCCTTAGCAATTTCATCAGAGATATAAAAGATAGCTTTCTCATAGACCATATCATCAAAGCTTTTAAAACAATTTAATATTGCCCAGCTGGTGTGCCTCACTAGTTGAGCATCGACCTATAAACCAGGAGGTCACGATTCGACTCCTAGTCAGGACACATGCCCGGGTTGGTGACTTGATCCCCAGTAGGGACGTGCAGGAGGCAGTCAATCAATGATTCTCTCATCATTGTTTGTATCTCTCTCTCTCCCTTTCTCTCTGAATAAATTAAAAAAAAAAATTTTTTTTAAACAATTTAATATTTTAAAAAATGAATAGTGTCAATAAAACTAAACCATTAATGATCAAAAATTGAGGATGGAGTGTAAAAGTTACTCTGGCAAGCAGAAAACCCAGTCCAGAGATGAGGTTTGAAAGAGGAGAAATAGGCTAAATCTTTTAAACAAAAAGACCATCATTATCTCTATCCCACATTTAAAAAGCAAAGTCTAGCCTGGCTGGTGTGGCTCAGTGGTTGAACATTGCACTTATGAACTGGATGTCATGATTTGATTCCTGGTGAGGGCACATGCCCAGGTTGCAGGCTCAGTCCCCAGTGAGGAGGTGAGCAGAAGGCAGCAGATCAATCATTCTCTCTCATCACTGATGTTTCTATCTCTCTCTCCCTCTCCCTTCCTCTTTGAAATCAATTATATATACCAAAGTCTATGAGTCTTGTTGATTGGCTAGGGTTATCACTTAGGTAAGGAGTCTGACTGGTAGTAGTGGTCTGCTGTGTACTTGAGGACTTCATCTCAAGGTTATGACATACACTTGCCCCTCCCTGCCTTATATGTGGCAGCTGGGCTCATATCACCCAACCCAGTTAGGTCTGCATCACATTAGCAATCAAGGTGGCCAGGTCAGGGATTATGAATTAGAATCTGGATCAGCTACAAATAACAGAAAAAATAAAATAAACTAAAATAATGAACAAGATAGAAAGTTTGTCTTTCATAAGTCCACAGTTGGTATGGTGCTCCATGGTATTAGGAATCCAGTCTCCTGTCTTCTTGCTTTACCATGTGAGCATTCCATTCTCAAGATTACCTCATTGTCCAAGATAGCTCCTAGAGCTCCAACTACATTCCAGTCAGCAGGAAGGAGGAAAGAGGAAAGGGTACAGCCCTACATTTTAAGAACAATTCCCAAATGTTGCATACAACAATTCTGGTTACATCCAGAGTATAATTCTATAACCACACATAGCTGCAAAAGAAGCTGGGAGCATAATCTTTATTCTTGGTGGTCATGGTCCAGTAAAAATTCAGGGTTTCT